GTGAGGGTTGGAAATGTAAAGGTAGACGTTTTGTAGCAAGGAGGGGAGTGATTAACTTTTCAGCCTAGGAGCGGAGATCCCTGGGAACATCAAGGGAGAACAGCGGAGAATGGGACCCTACCCAGAGAAGCAGTGATGCCTGAGATGGAAGCAGAGACAATGACGTGGAGAGATGGAGCAGTTGGGGACTTTAGACACAGAGATGGAGAAGGGCTGTGTGATGACGATTGGGGGACAGGCTCGTAGTGTATACCCTTTGTTTGGTTGATGATGCATGGAGGGGATTGTAACCATAGCAATAAAACAATATGATAGGATGAATATAAAACTAATGTTCTCCCATGTAAACTATCACATAATTCACAATAAAACATTAAAAAAAAAAAAAGTAGCACAGTATCAAGAGCCAATAATAATGAAGGAAGAAGTCCAAAGTACACTGAAGGATTGGCAAAGAACAATGCACTGGGAATGGATGGAATACAAACTGAAATCTGTCAACAAACTGATGCAGCATCAGAGGCACTCACTCATCTATGACAAGAAATTTGGGAGACAAGTATGTGCCAAGTGATTGGAAGAGATCCATATTTGTGCCTATTCCAAAGAGAGGTGATCCAACAGAATGTGGAGATCATTGGACAATGTCATTAATACTGCATACAAGTAAAATTTTGTTAAAGATCATTCAAAAATGGCTGCAACCATACACTGACAGAAAGCTTCCAGAAGTTCAAGCCAGACTCAGAAGAGGATGTGGAAGAAGGGATATCATTGCTGGCGTCAGATGTATCTTGGCTGAAAGCTGAGACTATCAGATGTTTACCTGTGCTTTATTGACTATGCAAAGGTTTGTGGATCATGACAAGCTATGGACAACACTGTGAAAAATGAGTATTCCAGAACACTTAATTGTGCTCATGAGAAACCTGTACACAGACCAAGAAGTGGCTGTTCAAACAGAACCAGGGAACTCTAAATGGTTTAAAATTAGGAAAGGTGTGTGGTGGGGTTGTACTCTTTCACCATACTTAGTCAATCTGTATGCTGAGCAAATAATCTGAGAAGCTGGATTATATGAAGAAAAATGTGGCATCAGGACTGAAAGAACAACCTGTGATATGCAGATGATACAACCTTGCTTGGTTAAAGGAAGAGGATTTAAAATACTTGCTGATGAAGATCAAAGATAACAGCCTTAGGTATGGGTTACAGCTCAATGCATAGAAAATAAAAATCCTCGCCCCTGTACCAATAAGTAACATCAAGATAAAGAGAGAAAAGATTGAAGTTGTCCAAGACTTCATTTT